TTGTATTTTCACGAATTAATTCCAAAAGTCTGTTCAAATAAATAAGTTTTACAAAATTGAGCTTATACACTGAATTATCAAAAACTTTAACACGTATATATTTTGAATTATCGATAGTAATTTTAAACAATTAAATTAATAACAATTAATTAAATTAGATCAAATTAATTCTCAAAACAGAAACTTAATAGTAAACCATAAAATACATCACTTTCACGATAAACCATCCATTATGATCAATAATAGTCACTAATATTCGTTGGCTAGTTTTCTCCAAGTTTTTCACGTTCAAGAAAAAAAGAAGAAAGAAAGGAAGGGGGAAAAAAAAAAGAGAAGAGAAGAAAAGAGAAGAGAAGATGTTCTCAACGGAGAATCGTTCCACGACCTAATTCCTCTAGCGCATCACACGGTGAAGGGATCCTTTTACCTCGTTACAAACGTCTCCCCTCCTGTCCACGCGGTTAATATTTTTCTCGATTAATTAGATCAATTATCAAAGCTCGTGATAATCAACCGGATCGTAACGCGTGTACACGAGGTGCAACGCTCACGATTGCGTAATTATTACGAGGTCGTCGAAGGTTAATTAACACGACCAAGTGTTCGAGATACCGATCGCGTGTCTCGACCGATTCAGACTCCTCTACACGAAGAAACGTTCCTCCATTTTATCCCCAACTTTTTGTTCCAGCTCGAAGCGAAAAACTCGAGGAGAACTTTCGATCGATTAGGGTCGTTTAGAGGTATCCATTTAATTTCACAACTCGATACTCGATAGGCTACTTAATTTCTGTTTAACTATTGGCGAGAGAGGGTAATGTAAACCTCAAATGATATATGTTGCAGGAAGTTTGGTTATAAAATGTAAATTAATGGACAACTATTTATTGTGTATGGAACAATAGTTTAGAAAGGAAGTGAACGGTCACTTCAAAGGATATGCTATGGTGTAATTAGTCTTTTGTGAGGTGGTGAGGTAAAGGTCATACGAAGGTCATGTATTTTCAATCGACATTCCCTTACAAAAAAGTTATACACATTGAAATGTCATTGATTTGTTTTAAAATTTGTATGAGATTTTTTGTATGAGAGATGTATTAAGAGTATGAACGTATTTTACAGTAAATGATAAGTCTTGCAAATCTTTTAAACTAGTAATTTTTCAATACGGATATGTACTTAAATCTATATGATTTCATTTGAAAAAAAAAGAAATATCACATGATCTTTAGATTTAGATTGTGTCTCTTTTGAAATCATTTATTTTTTTCTGAATCATTTTTTTGAAAGTATATCTTGTCTACAACCAAAACACTCTGTATAACAATTCTCGAGTAATATCAGAATTATTGTCATGCAACACGGATTTAGCATTATGAGACAAGCAATCCGATCTTGGCGACATGTTTATCAATCGAATTACGCATATCACGCGAAATTTTATCTTTCCCTGACCCTTGATTTCTTAAACATGCATATAATGGTAATCTTACACCATAAGAATGAAGATTGGCAATATTGGATAACAGTGAAAGAGTGAAGTATTATTTTTTAATTAAGACGTAGAAGATATTAATTTTGATCATGATAATCAATCATTTTTTTTCGTTTCTAATTACAACTAATTGATTTAGAAATAAATTATTCATGTAAATAAATGGAATGAATTAAACGTAAAGAGAAGTAAAAATTTAAATGCTAATAGAGATCTATATAATAACAATAGCTTCAACGTTTTAATTTTTAATATCATCTATATATGATGTTGGTTAATTACAGATAATGATACTATGCAGATCCGGGATCCTTGATTATTCTAGTATGTTATTCATTTTCATTATTCTATCACATTGTTGCAAATATAAAAACTTTTTTTTCTAATTGTATAAGTTATATATTTCGAAGTATCTTGAATATTTGAGAATAAAATTGTCACAAGTTATTCTTGAGACTATTTTTCGCGAATGAAAGTAAATGAGGATAGTAAAAATTTCAAAAATTCCCAAGAGTAACTTCATAAGAAACTTTCAAGTGGACGCATATATCTTAAAATCACAATCATGTTTTCACCGATGTGAAATTATGCAAAATTCTCTCCTTTCTTTCGTTTGTTTCGATAAACATATTCAGTTCTATCAATAAACTCGTTTTTATAAAACGTTATAAAATCAAGATTCTCGAGTTTACGATATTCATATCGGAAGAAAAATGAGGAATTGCAGAGGTGTAACAACGGCTCTACGCCGACACGGATACACGAAGAGAATCGCGTAGGTGTTAACGGGCTGATTTCATCGTCCTTACACTAATCTAATTGCTTTACGACATGCATTATTAAACACCTATTTGCTGATTTAAAATATCATATATTTTTGCAAACTGCTATTAATTGCAATTTTAATCCGTAGAGGCTGGTCTTCGAAAATAGAGAAAAAAAAAAACACGGACCATATTGGAAGTGAGGCATGTATACGCGTGATACGCGAAGGAACGCTGCCTTCACGATTCTAGAAGGCCTTTCAATCGATTCAAGGACGATTGGAGAGCTTGATTCGATCGAATGGAAGATATCACAAAGTGTCACGAAGGAGACTGTTCAATGCATTGAGGTAAATATATATTTAAAAAAAAAAAAATGCTTAATCGTTATTCTTGTTTCGTGCGATTCAAAGACTTGTGGTCTCGATGCACGCTCCAATTTCTGGTTCGTTAAACGGTCCTCCTTTATATCGGGACAAGAGCGGTTCTTCCTTCATTTCCACGAAATTTCCGTTATGATCATTAGACAAAGATTGAATAAAATTTAGTTTATAATCGAGTTTTTTGGAAGTTAAGCTGATTAATTTTAACTTTGAAAATTTGATGGAGTTAATATGGACTTTTTATGTGGTTTATTATAATTTGTAACAATTGAGAATCTTTATAAAAAGAAAAGTTTTATTTTTGATATTAGTTATTGCATTTAGTTTATTTGAAATGAAAGTTATGCTCAAAATTTGAAAACTGAGTCGAAGCAATAATTTTATAAAAAATTATCAAATCAATTATACAAATCAATACTATCCAATTTTGATTCTTAGAAATAATTATTAATATTTGTTTATTAGTAAAATTCTTGATTGTTTTATAACTTGACGTATTACAAAAATTAAGATTATTGTTCTATCTAAAAATCTACATAATTTTAATTTAATACATTCTTCAGTAAATTCAGTCAATTAAGAGATCAATTAAAAGAAAGATCATTCAATCATCGAGAAATTGATAATTGAAAGAAAAAAATTGTGTTGGAAAATTATTTATAAGAGAATTATTGACACGAAGAAATTGTAGGACAAATCGTATTCGATCGAACAAGTTTCCGGGTTATCTAATACGAGAAAGTCAGCCTCAGTACCACCTTCAATTTCTCGATTGCGATATCTTAATTTTCTGCATTTTCAGCAAAATATACTCGATTTCATTACTAATGATTGATCTTTAACACCAAATTAATCCGTGATAATCCATTGGATTATTTTTTATTTTATTCATTTATGCAACGAGGATCCTAATTGATCGATGACGAATCTTTGCAGGATGATAATAAAAAATATCATATCTTTGATAATGCATGTTAAAATGTATTAATTATAGTTACGCGATAATTTTTAGATATAAACGATTAAAGTATTTTTAGATGTATATGGAATGTAATTAAAGTTAAAGATTGTTTATTTGAAACCTATTTTTTTTAAATGAAATACTTATTTCGAAGTAATATTTATAATTGATATTAAAATATTTTATATCAATTAAAGAATTCTTTCTAATTATCTAATTAAAAATTTATCTCCTTCAATCCTATATAATAATAGATTCATTATCCAACTAAATTAACCCGCGTAGTCACTTTTGGTTCTATCGATCGATAATAATGTTAATTAGACAATAGAAATTAATCTTTCGAAATTCTATATGCCTGCACATAGATTTTATTTCAATAGATTCAATGTCTAATCTGTTCGAACAACAATTTTATTTTATTAATTTAATTTTATTAATGAATCTTAAATTTATTCATTTATTATATTATATTTATTATCAACATCTTCAAACCGGTTATTATCTTTGTGTTGTAGCATTCGTATTTTATTTCATATCTATTCATATTAATATTCTATCATATCTATTTATACTAAATAATTGTAGGCTATAAAAAACTTTATATTAAATAAAAAAAAAGTCTATTTATCGATATAAATCACTTCTAACTCAGCTAATCGTATATTCCACGTGTACGTGTTAACGGTTCACCGAATAAAGGTTCAAAGAACTAACTCTAAGAACTCTACGATAAAGAAGTCTGAAACCAGGTGTAGGATTACGATCGAACAGGAGCCGCGTATTTGTTAGAGGGTCGCGTTACCGTTTCGCTCGACATCAGCTGTTGGGACAAGTTTACGACGAGCGCGCGACATCCTTCTTACCCGACACTGGAATGGAAAACAAATAAATGTCGCGTACGAGGTGGTTAAATGTGACCGCGTGCCGCGCATGCTCAGACATCACTTGAAATTCTACGTACGCCGTCGGCGTGAGAACACGTACGCCTCGATGCCACCGGTATGCTTTTGTTAACTCGAAGTCATATTAAAAGAAAGTGAAATGCTTTGAATTATACGTACACGTACGAAAAGAAAGTCGTCCGTGACGGGTCGCCATTGAACCGTGTCGATAGCGAATTTTTTTCGCAATCCAGTCACGAACTGTTTAATTTCTAACTGCAATACTTTAAATCATATCTCGTGACGAAACTTTTTGCGACTAGAAAGTATTTGCATGATCTAAATCTCTTGAACGGTATTTTTAACGAACTATCTATTTTCAATGACGTATTGAATAATTAAATTCGTAATTATATATCGCAAAGTTAATATATAGATTAATTTCGTATATCGGCGTAATTTAGAAAATAAAGATGTAATAAATGTAAAAATAAGAAGTTATTGATGACTCACCTTCGGCTTCTCCCGTTTCTTCTTAATGATGAGTCCATCGTTCTCGATATAATCGGGTACCTCCTTCCGGTTACTGAAATTGAACACCATGGTATTGTTTTGCTGGTTCCAAGGTTTCGTCTCCCATAATCCGGCGCCACCTGAATTCGACTTTTTAGCAGGTTGAATTTCGTCCGCGCTCTTCAAGCTAACCACTACTTTGGTTGGTTGTTCTATGCTCTTCACTCGATTGATCAGATTCTTCTCCAACTCTCGATTGCTCAGATTTTGCTGAGGATGTTGCGTCTTGGTGGATACGAGAGGTCTGATTATCCCTATCTGTTTCTGGGGAGGGGACTCGGTCTTTTGGCATCTTATCGTCTTCGACTCGTTTCCCTGCGGATACGAACTGTTGGTCGAGGACTTGATCAAACCCAGACTGCAGATAGCACCGATTGGTTTCGTTTCAACGTTCGCTTTGGTCTCCGTCTCCTCCTTAACATCCTCGTTCTTCCTGTCGTTCTTGTTGTCCAACTCTAATCTCTCTTGCAGCCTGGAGACTGTCTCTTGATCCGTTACAACGTTCGCGGAACCTCCGGACAAAAACGACTTGCCCCGGGATTCTAGCGACGACAACTTCGTTTCTGTTCGTGTGTCCGGTTGATTTTGCTCGTCCATTGGTTTCTGCCCATTCTGTTTGAATCCAGGCAAGTAACTCTTATTGGATATCGGTTTATCGCTAAAGCAAAATTGCATGGTGACGCCGGTTCTCGCGATATTCTCCAACGCCGTTTTCGAGATCGTCTTCGGGCCATCCATTTCCTCTCGCTCGTGCTCATCGTCGCTGTGATTCGCGTTGTCGATCGGCGACTTATCCTCAATCTTCTCTCGTTCAGTCGGACTCTGTATCCTCTCCGTAGGCTGTTGCTGCCTAGGATGTTCCACGATGCTCACTATGTTCCCATTCTCCTCGATTTGTTGCTGCCGCGACAGCTTTCCATTGTCGGGCATGGACGTTTGTCTGAACAACTCCCTGCTAGGACTCGGAGGCGGTTTGTGGACGGGACTGGAATTCTGTCTGGTCAGATCCTTCATCGGGGATGGCGGGCTGTGCACGCGCGGCGAGCTCTGCCTAAGCGCGTCCTTCATCGGGGACGAAGGGCTCTGCAACCTGGGCGAGGATATTCTGGGGGAAAGAACGGGCGTTACGGGCGGTGATTTGATGCTGATCTCCAGAGAGGATTTTAATTTACTTAATTGAGGCTCGGGACTGGGCGCGGGCGAGAATTTCAATTTGAAGGATGGCTCGGGCGACGGGGACGGGGAATGCGACTTCTCGATCTGCTGGAATTTGCTGACCACCGAGGACACAGACTGCACTATGGGATCCGTGATTACGCCATCGATGTGATACTCTTCCTGCCCGTCCTGAGTCTCGATCAACTCCGCCGTAGGTTTCTGCGGCAACACGATCTTCTTCGGGGAAGTTGGAATCGGCCTGGAATTCCCGTTTACAAATGGTTTAGGTTGAATAGGTGGTTTCGGCCCTACCTTCTTCTGTGCCTGCGCCTTAAACGTGTCGTTGATCGTTTTAAACGTGGCCACTTTCGCGGCAACTTCGCCTTTTGGTTTCAACTTCCTCGCGGATCCCTCGAAGATCCTCATCGTCGTCTTGACTAGATCCGGGGGCGGCCTTTCCGTTTCCGCCAACAACGGTTTGATCCTCTTCGGTTTGTTCACGGGTTTCGGCCTGTCCAGCTCGCTCAATCGACTTTCTATTTTCACCGGGTTACGATCGATCAGGATAATATGATCGTTGACCGGTTCCTGTTTCAAACCATTCGTCGTGGTAGCACGACCGTGGGATATACCGTGGGTACTACCAACTTCATCTGCCCCATTGTACCTCAGTAACGTTTCGACGCTTCGTGCTCGTTTCATCGATTCATTGCCGCGGGAAGCATTTCTATACCTGTCAGTTTTCGCGGCAGCACCATTAGTCGTTCGTTTCGTGTATTTTCTCACGTTTTTCTCCCCATGTTCCTCATCACAATCCAAAAGATCCTCGAGACTCGCTGCGCGTCTAAAACGTTGCACCGAGACGCGATTCTTGTTCATCTCTTTGAGAGTGAGGTTAAGATATTTGCTCTTTAATTTATTCACTATTCCCGGTCCGTATTGCAGCTCTTCCGAACTGTCGCTTTCACCGTCGTCACTCGCCTCTCGATTCCTCGCCATTTCTGTTTCGATTTTACCAGTTTTCATTTTCGCCAAATCCGCAAGAAGATCTCTCTCCACTTTGTTGCTTCTACAGCCACGATGCTCGTCGCAATTTGACAACAAATCACTGCCTTTCCCGTCCTGCTTGGATTCTTCGATTTCCAAACCGTCACCTTGTTCCGATTTTCGTTCCATGTCCGTCGACGACTTACTCATCATATCGTTCGCAACATCCTCCGAGTCGGAGCAGAACGAAAGATCCACTTCGAGACGCATGTTGCACGCGACTGTCGAGGCAACGTCCGTAGTGGCGGTTGTTCCGCTGCTGACGATGGCGCCACACGCCGGTCCTCTTGAGAAAAACGGCGAAGATGATACGACACCAGCTATGGCGCTTCCACCACTACTACCGTTAACACTCGATATATTCACCATGTTCACACTATCTTCTCCGCTGCTCGTCGTCCGCGTTCTCGATGACACATTGCCGGCTATACACTGTTCTTGGACACCGGTCGAATCAATGAATTCTGTTGTTCCACTCGTTGTTGTCGTCGACGAGCCAATTACTGCGGAACATAGCTTCACACTGGCCCCGTTACTCGCGAGAACTTTGTTTTGTTGCCTACGACGCTGTATCAAGTCTCTTTTCCACTGTGGCACGTTACTGCCGTTCGTTTCACCGGCGCTTGTCGTCGTGTTGCTGGTGGTAGCCATGTTGGACGCGCGATGGGCGCGTTCGCAAACGCGCGCCCGAGTTTACGCGACACCACAATCCCTTTCGATTCGTTCCGATTCTCTACTTGTCAAAATAAATATTTTTTTCTTCACACGCAATATTTGGTATTCATACTGTTGACACAAATTCTTCTAACAACAAAGAACATGAGCAGCTGCGAACGTTCGATGTAAAATCGATGTCTTTGACACATATGTACGTTCGCACGCGCACGTTGACAGAAGACACGTTTCGTTCAGCCGGGAATAATTTATATCATTTTTCCTTTTACTTTGAACAAACAATATTCTCGATAGATATTTGTTATCAAGGAGCCATAATGCAAATAATAGAAATAGCCATTGATTCTATACGACTGTATGTACATATATGAAATCTAAAACAAGTTTAATAAAGAAAAATCCAAAAAAAGGCACCTGTCGTGAGAAAAGCACACGCATACACACATGCACACTGCGCACAAAATCGAAAGGAACGAACAGCACGATTCGACGTATCGTACACGTACTATTTCACTCTATGATAACTATCATGTCCGTTTCCTAGTGTAACGTTGTACCCGGCAAAGGTTCGCCAATCGTTGGAAATCGAAAGTACCTGCCTGTGAGGACGCACTCACGCACGCACTCACGCACTCATACGAAACGCCGACGAAAGGCGAGCACGGCCGTCCTTACTCGTTCGCACGCACTCCACTCCTGTCCCTGTCGAGATATCGCCTCTCTCTCCCGTCTCCTATGCACCAGTCCCCTCTCGTAGCACGAAACAGCCCATCAAAATCTCTCTTCTCTTTCACCCCTCTTCTTAGTCCCGTTTTCCTTTACTATCGTTCTCTCCACCACCCTGACGTTTACTCTTTCGACCGATCAAATATCGCTGTTATCGAATATCGGACCAATAATCGAAATCGCGTTTAGGGTTACGAGGGTGTATCGCGAGCGAAACTTCGATTCCAGAGGGCGGGAAATATAAAGCGAAAAAGAAAAGGGGTTCGTATAAGTGTTTAAAATTTTGAATTATTATTTTAATACGCAATATAATATTTTAACAATAATATTAAATTTGCTATTTATCTTTGGACCTTTATCATTAAACGAAGTTAGTAAAAAAATGTTACATGTGTCGAACACATTTAGAACAAGGGGGAAACGCATCCGGTGAACAATAATAATGAGTGTATGAGAAAAACAGGACGGATCTGAGAATCGGAACGAACGATGACCTAAAACAAGGAATCCCGAGCATTCGGCTCGTTTCCTCGCGTTCCGTGACGAGGCGAGTCCCGCTCGGAATGTTTGTTCATTGCACGCTTTACGCGAAACTCTTGTGTGGGTGTTATTATCTCGTTATATTGTAGAGTGGTGTTTTATACGCACGGGATTATATTAGCCCTGGCTGGTTCACGAAATAGTTCACTTCCGGTGTCGGCATTGCTATCAGAGCGTGCGAAGATTCATGGTAATATTCTAGACGTTGTCTAGAAAAAAAGAAAAAACAAAATATTTTTAAAAATACTTACCTGGAATCGATCATCTTGCAAAAATTAGATTCATTATGCAAAAAATTTGCAATAAATAGTTTATCGATTGTCGTTTGTTCGATTAAAATATAACTTTAAAAATTTCTAATGTTTTTAAATGAAAAGTAAATCACTATTATAAAGATTATGTGAAATATATATATTTATAAACATGTATGTATTTATGCACATATGTTTTGTATAAGAGATTCAAAGTAATTATGAATTATAAGATGTATTGTGGAAAGTGAAGAAAGAAACTCAATGTTCTATGCATTTTAACAATGTGAAAAATTCATAATATAATGTAAGTTTCATTGAATCATAGAAATGCTTATAAATCTTTATATGAAATCTATACAATTTATGCAATTATTTAATATGATCTAACATGAATGATGTAATAAAGTTATCAGAAAATCTGGAATGTGGTTTGAATAATTTATTTTCATATGAATATAATAATAGTAAAGTGTTTTTTACATCATTTTTACATTTTAATTAGCTCGACGGCAATTTTTTATTCTCAGATATTCATACATATTATGCTTCAATATCGAATTATTATTTTTAATTATTTTGAAAAAAAAATATTATCAAGTAACCGTGGAACTATAGAAATATTTTTTATTTTTCATTTTTTTTGTTATAATTATATTATTATGAATACAAGCTTTTAAAATTGGAAGTTTGTAACGTTTAATTTCATAAATTAATTTATATTTGAATATGTTCAAAACTCGTACGATGTACAATTTCATTGGTTGGAAAAGCTAACGTATCTTTAGTATTTGTAAAGTACAAGATAATATGGCCGCCAGTTCTTGACGCGTACGGAACCAGTTTCCAATATGAAACCGGTTTGGAACTAGTTTTCATTGGTTTTTCGGCCCTCTGCAAGACCGTACCACGACCGAGATTGGCACTTGTGTTGTACTTCTCTCAGAGATTGGAACGGAGGTTACGTTACGACTGTGTGCTAATATGGCCGATATTACAGAACAGAAAGGTAAGAAACTAGTTTTTAAACAAGGTTAGGTCCTATTATTGCCCTGTATTCATTGTTGATTCTATGCTGTTTCGAATACCTGGCGCTCATATCGTATATTTCGAAAGTCAGCCGTAGACACGTTTTAGATGCCTATAATAAACAATCCTGCTTTACGCGGGAAACTTGAATGCCTCTGCTGCTTTTTTAAAATTAATTTTTTTAAAATTTTAATTTTTATTGTTAAAAATTATTTTATATCGTTAATAAATATATCAATGGACTCACTTGTTTTTTCCTTTTCAATTATTGTTTTCTGCTTATTTAAAACATGCTTAAATCACTTTGACGTGTAAATATATTCTTATAAAAGGAGAAACTCTCGACGCACAAATGGAAATCAAAGTGGAACCACCAGTACAAGGATATATTGAAGAAGAACACGAAAACAGTTTTCCCGGTTTTGAAAGTAACAACGCAATTCCTTCTAGTGCTGATGTTGGTGCTTTAAATTTGTGGACCAGTAAGGCTACTGCATGTCTTATTAATCAATATAAAAAATATCATTCGATGGTAGGGCAATCGACTCAAATTCGAAGTTTACGTGAGATGTTTGAAATGATCTCTCTTGAGATGCAAAAACATGGATTTTACTTCAGTCCTCAGAAATGCGAGAACAAATGGCGTGTTCTAGAACGAAAATACAAAAATCTTGTGTTTCGAGAACGATTAAAAAAGCCTGGTAGGATGAGACATTATGGACAATGGGAACATAAAAGAGCGTTGGATGAAATATTTAAAGAAAAAAAAAAGCATATGTACTTGGATAAAAATGATTTTCCATCACCACCTGGTTCTGCAAGATATATGTTCATCTTACCAAAACAAGTGAACGAAGAATCCAGCAACATTGTTGTCAATCAACAACAAGAAGATCCTCTTGCGGCATCGCCAACTAATTCTTCTACAAGTAACAAAAATGAAGCAGTGGATCAGAAAGAAACTCTGACGGCACTTTTTGACAAATTTCTTGACGAATTGGCAAAACATTTTGCTCTTGCGGAGAAAAATAAAGAAAAAAGACATAAAGAAAAAATGGCAATACGACAAAGTGAATTGGAAGTTCAAAAAAAACTTTTAAAATTAAAAGAACAAAAAGTTGAATTACAACGACTTCAAATTATTGCTGCTGCACAGCATATACATTTGAACATGTAGCAAAAACAAACTAATATAACTCAAACAAAAAAAATTAGAACAATGATTTTACGTTTAAATTTTTTGCAATTTGTTTGCAATTCTTATTAATTGTTTTTATATAAAATATTTTGTACGAATATACTTTTAAATTATAAATAATTTTATTTGTGATAATTATTGCAATATAAATATAAATATATATTTTTCAATACCTTTTTATACGTATTAAATCGTTTTCGGCAGATTGGACTTAATAGTTGTATAAAGAAGCCTACAGGTGGTAGCACTTTCCATACCGTTAATTCTATAGTTGTATCACAGACAAAGAAAGTAAACTGTAAGAAAAAGATAGAAAAAGAATATATAAAGTGAATACTAGTGCCATCTGTTGTGTATTGAAAGAATTATATTTCTAGAAAAAGATTATAAAGTGAATAGTGGCGCCATCTATCGAGTATTGAAAAATTATATTCGTAAAAGAGTATAACGCGAATGCTGGTGCCATCTGTTGTGTATTAAAAGAATTATATTTCTAGAAAAAGCGTATAAACTGAATGGTGACGCCATCTGTTGTATATGGAAAGAATTATATTTCTAGAAAAAGCGTATAAACTGAATGGTGGCGCCATCTGTTGTATATGGAAAGAATTATATTTCTAGAAAAAGTGTATAAACTGAATGATGGCGCCATCTGTTAACTGTTGCAGTAATTATATTTGTAAATGAAATCGAGAGATGGCGCCACTGTTCAGTATTGATAGAATTATATTTATAAAATAAATCAAGAGATGGCGCCACCATTAAGTATTCAGTCTATTTTCTATTTTTGTTTTATTATTTGCTTTCCTTGTCTATATTTACTTTATCCTGAGTAAAGAGATGGCGCCACCGTTAAGTATTGATAGAATTATATTTGTAAAATAAATCGAGAGATGGCGCCACCATTAAGTATTCAGTTTATTTTCTATTTTTGTTTTATTATTTGCTTTCCTTGTCTATATTTACTTTATCCTGAGTAAAGAGATGGCGCCATCGTTCAGTATTTAGCCTATTTATTTTTTTATCCAGTATTTTATCCTTGTTTTATTGCTTCTTTTTCTTATCTATATTATCTATTTGTTTTATTTGAGGTATTCAAGAGATGGCGCTAGTTTCCTAATTTTTACTATATATCTATCTTCTTTTATTATTTATTCTTCTTGTCTATATTTATTCTTGGCGCCTAACCACAAATGAGGTATTGGATGTCAATTGAATATATTTTCATTATTTCTCTTTCAAAACTA